TAGTCAAAGTATAAATTTGGTTAATTTAACCAAAAGTTGCAAATCATGTCCTAGAAATATCTGGAAAGGCGTATAACTCAGTGGAAAGAGTCAAAAAACACATATCAGAGTTGGGGTACCTTGCTGGATGACTTAATATTTTAAGCCAGTTTCTTCTCTGTAAGACAGAGATATAACAGCTTCATTTCACAGGACTCTTAGGAAGATGAACAGGGTAACAGCAACAGGTAACTCTAAAGGAATCCTAGGTATTAAGACTTAACTCCAAGTTCACTTTGCTTTTTGTCATTAAATTGTTCTAGTACATAAGAAAATCATTTAACCTGCAGTATTTTCTTATCTGTCAAATTATGAAGATAACATATGCCCACTACATCTTACAGATACTGACAAAAAATAACATATGAAAACACATACAGAACAGAGTTTTGAAAAATTAGCAAATATGTAACTGAGGTAGTTAATTCAGTATATATAAAACAAGAAAGAAATTTGGGGCTGAAGAGATGCTCAACTGTGAAAAGCACAGCTGCTCTTGCAGAGGACCTGGGTTGGTTCCCAGCACCTCCAAGGTGCTCACAACCATCTGCAACTCCAGTTCCAGGGGTATTCAATGTCCTCTTCTAGCTTCCATGGACACTGTGTGCATACACATAACATGCAGATAAAACACTCATATACATAAAATAAGTAATTTCTTTAAAAACCTGCATTGCTAAAGCATTAATTGAAACAAGAATGGAGAGAGAGTGAGAAATGAATGAAAGAAAAGCAAGTATTATGGTTTGGAGCTTAAATGTCTTCTAAAGGTTCATATGCACAAGGTTTGGTGGCCAGTCTACAGGACTGGACTTTTAGGAGGTGGGACTTACTCAGACCTCTCCTGCTGTAAGTTCCTCCCCACAGGTGCTACCTCAGGCCCAAAACAATGAGGCCAAATGTGTGTGCATATCAATCTCAAGGAGCTGGTTAACAGAAAAGTAAAATACTAATGTGTGGAACTTGGGCAGGACACACTCATAAACAGTGGAAACCTGCCTAAGTATTTCACACATGGCTCCTCCATTGCCCTCTGTTACACAAGCAGCAACATTTCAAGCCAGTACCCTTACTTCACAAGTGAGCCCTGTCAACACTGAGGTAACAGAACTGGAGAAAGTCATCACTCCACAGAGACAGTCAAATATCAGAAGTTTTCATTTGGAAAAAAATTTTATCAGTGCCAAATAAAACTAATGCAAATTTAGTAAAATATGCAAGACTTTGAGTAGTTCTTTTGTTGAAAAGGACTCTTGGGGAGCTTGCAATCCACCAGGCAATTGTGTAGGCCCTCTCTTGCTCCTTTGTCCTTTCCACACCCATATCTCAAGTGTGGGGCAGGGAGAAAAGGGTGTGGGAAGCCAGAATGAACTAATCAGCATGTATTTACATATTCATTCTACTCTAAATCTACTCCCACACGTCTTTCCTCAAGGTATGCACCTCCAGCAAGAGAGCCATGTTTATTCATCTCCAAATTATCCAAACCTAACCAATATCCTCATATAAAGTCACCCTTACCAGCTATCAATGACAGGCAATGGAAGAAGACTAGAGACAGATGTAAGAGACAGACATCCCATCCACACTGAACCCACACTGTTGAGAAACGAAGAAGAATGGATGTTAATGAGGAAGAACCAGCTAGCACAGGCCTACCACATGTGCTATCTCTTGCCTCGTATTGTCAACCAAGGATTAGAAAAGAACAAAAGCAGTTGGTCTTTTCAAAACCCTGTGTGTTTCCATTCCTGACCACAGTCATTCCATATTCACTCAACATGTCCACATAACCTAGTTACAGAGATTAACCTGTGTGGACTCCAAAGCCAGAGTACTCTGGGTGTGAATTCCACTTCTAACACAAACCCATGGCAATGGGTAGGGACTTGAGATAATTAGTCAGAAGCCTTGCCCTGCTAGATAACTTAAGGCAGGCAGTTCTCTGTGCCTCCATTTTCTCATCTGCAAAATGGGAACAGTAAATTCTTAGCACATGCAACTATTTTAACGATTAAATGAATATATGCAAAACTACTTAAAGCCTTGCCTGGAATATGGTTCATGTATACAATATGCTAATTATTGTCATTGTTACTAGCACTCATTATTACTATTTTTAACAAGTATCTAAATCTTAAAAGTAAAACTGGACTTTTATTTTTCCTCCCAAACCTATCATTTCAGAAAATCGCACTAGTATTCTCCTAGTTCTTCTGCCCTAGCCCTAAAAAGTTATTACTTCTCCCTTTCTCTTAGCAACCCCATCAGTAAGTCTTGTTGACAGAGCAGGAGTTCCACCTCTTAATGTCACCTCCACAACTGCCTCTACTAGTCTAAGGTATCACACCATCTCCCCTCTCAAGGTACAACACAACAACAGCCTCCTACCCCCTCATTTTCATGGCCCCTCCGCCACTCCATGACTCTACAGTTAATTCTCCATTAAGTAGAAAACAGATACTATTCCTATAATGGTACTGTCTTGTGGTTTTTCCAGTACACTTAGGGGTAACATGTCTACTTTGACACAGACTCCAAGATCCCACCAGAGTCTATCAAATGTTTCAGGGTTACATGTCAACACTTCTTTCTCCCTCTTTATTATACTCTGAGACAAAATAGTAATTTGGAACACAGCTTCTCAAATCAAATGAGCTAATTCAAATGTTAAAAATTATAGCAGTGCCAAATAAAACTAATGCAAATCTAGTGAAATATGCAAGACTTTGAGTCTCTTAAGCACTTAGCTTGAGTACACATCTAATATGTGTCAGTTTCCTCATCTATAAAAACGGAGGTAGTTCTCTTAGCTTAAAAGGTTATCATACAGCATTAGGTGTTTAGAACTGTGCCTTGCACATGGTAAATTTTCCAGGCCAGGTGGCTATACTACCTCCATCCACCACTCCCAAGTGGAAATTGAACCCAGGGCCAGAGTTCTACCACTAAGCTACATACTCCTCAGACCTATTTCTACCCAGGCTGGCCCTAGACTCCATCTGCAGCCAAGGCATTCCTTGATCTTGTGCTTCTCCTGACTTGGCCTCCCAAGGAACTTGAAAGCCACTAGCTGGGCTCCTGCTGGGCTCCCACACCACCTCAGAACAGCTCAGCTGCTACCTCCTTTGAAGGGTCTTCCCTGACAGACTATTTAAACAACTCCCACTGTTCCCTCACCCCTATGTGAAGCCATTTTATGTGCCTATTCCCTGTTGCCCATTTCTCCACTGTAACTGAACTCTGCTAGGGTGCAGACGCTGTCTTCTTCACCTTTGCCACTCTATTTCTAGTCCTGACTCAGAACCTGACTTCTGAATGCAGTATCTCATCTTGGGTAGTGTCTGATGCAAATAACATGCCGTACTTAGAAAGCTGCCTGTGCTCTTCATCATGGTCTCACCTGATCCTTGTAAAAGTAACAAAAGCTACACTATCATCTCCCATTTAGAGACAGATTTTAGAAAAAAAAAAAAAAAAACAGGTCCCAAGACTTAGATGACTTGTCTTTGGAAAGTTACTAACATAACAAAGCTCAGAAGCCCTGCTTTGATTCAAAGGGCCCTCAGTAAGGATATAACACACTCCACTGAATTCTCAAAAATGTGACCTCTTAATCTACTTTATAAATCCACCCTAGTGTGTGTATATTCCCTCCGAAGTTCCTGACGAGTTCTTGTCCCACTCTTGAGAACTGTTAAAATGTTATATATAACTAAATCTTTAGTAAGGCAAGAGTTGGCTAAACCATGTACGAATACAAGTTGATTCTACCTACTTGTGTTGAATATCATCTTCTAGTTCTGGGCTGTTAAAACATTTTTCTGTAAAACCAGATGGGGAGAAATAACATATTGCTAAGATCTTGGTGATAGTAATTATTTCTTGATCCCCGATCAATCAATACAATAGCTGAGATACCTTCAGGTTCAAAGTCATGATAAGATGGGTCTGAGTAAGAGGTGTGGGAAGGTGGCAAAGCCATGAGAAAGATCCTTACATACAAATGGATTACCATATTCCTCAGAATAATCAATACTGCATAAGCGTTGCATAGCCTGGACCAGCTCACAGGGTCTCAACGCATTGTGGCCCTTTGGAAAGGAAAATACGGAAAGCTGGAGGCAACACAGCATGTAAGTTGTCATCAGCCACCTGGGCATCTGCAGTATGCCAAAGGAAGATGGGCACAGGGCTGCTGGTCTTTGAAGGGACTCTCCATCCCAGGCTGACCAAGCATGTCTTACTGCCAGATGAGAATGGAGACTGGGAATCTAATCTCTTTATCAACGAATTTTAAGGAGAGCCTCGCCAGTTCCCCGTTCCTTAATCACCCGCTCTTAGCTGTCACAGGCCAGCGGGAAAGGGGCTGGCAAGGCTCAGGAGCAGCCTCGCTTCTACATGCTGGCGGTCCCGGGAGAGCGCGCTCTCACTTGGGGCGATCACCGGCCCGGCGTCACATTCAGTGGCTCCCGGGTCTCCCGAGGCTTCCCGGTGCCCGTGGCCAACACCGCGACCGTGACAGCGAGCAGCCCGCAGGCCCCGCGAGCCCCGCAAGCCAAGCTACTGCAGGATCCTCGCAAACTTACAGTTTTCCTACTGCGTGCGCGTCACGGCGGGGTGACGTCACGGGCGGCGCGTTCAACCAGGTCAGCCCGCGGGCGCGGCGCTCTGGCCCAGGCCCCGCCTCCAGCCAGCGACGGGAGACGCCCCGTCCCGCCCTGCCGGGGCGGCGCGCAAGCGCACAGGGCTGGTGCCGCGTGCCCATGGGCTTCGCAGGCAGGCGGACCCCGGTAGCCACTCTTCACCATCTTCACACAGCCCCGGGGGCGAGAAGGTCAGGGGTCGATGGGAGGGGAGAGACCCATGAGAACAAGCCACACAAATTCTCGCCCGGGCTTGGAGCGGGACGGAAGGGTTCTTACGTAGCTCTTCCGCAGACACTGCCTTCCTCCTCTCACCTGTTCACTAAAACTTCTACACGTTTGGTAACAGACACTTGCTGTCCACCAGGGGCCTATGGGTTCTCCGCCCGGGTCACAGGGGCAACTCTCCCATGGGCCCTTGCGCAGTCCCACTTCTACCCTCCCCCAGCTGCCCCTCCCGCCCGCCCGCGCCCAGCTAGACACACCAAGAGCGGACCACGCCCACTCCGGCCCAACCAGAGCGAGCCCCGCCTGTGCACGGCCCGCCCACGTCCGGCTAAGGCCCGCCCCCGAGACCCGCCCTTCCGGCCCAGGCTTGTTGGGCCAACTGTTGGGGAGCGGCCCCTCCCTCCCAGTGCACTGTCAGCTTCCCTCTGCTGGAGCAATTTCTTCTACTCTTCCTACTGCTTTTCCCTTTTTGGCCCTAGGAAACCTTTTACTAGTCACCTGCTAAGTTTAACAAGTAGTGACCCGAGTAAACTTTCAAGCCTCCCCCCAACCACGTGACGAAAACCCAGCTGTCTAGCTCTGGCTAAAAGACTACTGCAAAGAAAGTGAAGGCAGAGAGTGAACCACAGAATCTGAAGACGAATTCAGCTTCATAGGAGGCCCACATTACTCCTTCAGGCAGAAAAAAGGAAACCTTGTGGGTAAACAAAAGAGACAAGCAGTTCAAATTGTCTTGCAGCATACTAAAACGCCTGGGAGGAGGGGGAGAGTAGTGCCTAGAAGGGAAAGTATTGAAAATAGTGAGGATTGCTTTTTATTATTTAGAGACAAATAGCCGGGTCAGGGATTTTGTCGAGCAGCTCCTGTGAAAATTTAAATCTAAAACAGTGGTTTGTTTACACTTTTCCTTGAGAGTGATGACTGGGAAACTTGTAGCTTTTAACCAGAGATGGGACCTGGCTGAGAATCAGCTTCTAAGCAGAAGCAGGAGAGAGTTAATTTCAGGACGATCTGGACTGAAGGGATCTTGCCTCAAAAAATAAAATAATAATGTATCCCAGGTAAATCTATGAAGATAATTAGTTTTGAAAGAACCTAATCTGTGCAGCTAAATACTTTGCAATGTTTTGATCCTTATCAAATTATGTAAAATAAAATTTTAGAGCATACATAATTTAACAATACTTTTATTTTGTGCAACAATATAGAAAAATTAGCATTATAAAACTTCCAATAGTGGTGTTTATTTTTCATTAAGAACAACTTTAAGATTCTGTCTTTTCATTATTCACATGCTGACAAGCCTTCTATATCATTTCTCCAAACAGGAATTTTTTTAAGTGATCTTCTAGCTAATGCTTCAGATTCTCCCACAGGCATCTGTAATCTTTTTAAGAGTGGGAATAATATGTACCAAATGTTTTAAATATTTTTAGTATAGGGCACAATAAAATTATTCTTTGATCATTTGATTACTCAGTTTTTTTCCTCTAATGCCACAAGTTCATTTGTATATGTAGGATTTGTGTTCAAGTTGTGTGTATGCTGACCTATGTGTACTGTGGTATAGATGTGGAGGTCAGGTGTGGTTCCTACCTTGCCTTCCACCTTGTTTGAGCCAAGTTCTCCGCATTTGTTGCTGTGCTGTACATTAGCCAGAGATTCTTCTGGCGCCACCTCCCATCTCACTACAGGAGCACTTCCATTACAGACTCTAGTTAGGGCATGCAGTTTTACATGGATTCTCAAGATTTGAACTCAGGTCCTTACATTTATGCAGCAAGCACTTACGCACTGAGCCATCTCCCCAGTCCCACAAGTATATTTTTAGAAATCTGTATTGCTTCCTGCAAAAAAGAAGGAAATGTGATAAAAAAAAAAGACTGAGAAGGGAATGTGAATATCAAATAGAACTTTTCAGGAAATGGCTAAGAAGTACACTCTGTAGGTGAGGTATCTTTAACATGGCATACATTCACCTTTACAGAATATATTCACACAGAAGCACAATAAGATTTGGCGCTTCTATATGAACTGGAATTTGGTCTAAATGAATAATGAGAAGCTAGCACTGAAAGTATTCCTATTAGAGGAAGGAGCTGCAGGCAGAGCTGCCTTTAAGGAAATAGACAGCTGTACCTTCCAGGCTCAGCTCTGGAAGTATTGAACACTACAGTCTTGGGGTGTGGCTTTATCCTTGAGATTCTTTCCTTTTGATATATGTTGCCCTAGCAGTCTACTTCTCAGAATCTTTCACTTCAACACACATAATACTTCCTTTGGTTTTACTTAGCAACCTGAATAGAGCCCTACCCTTCCCTTGCAAAACATTACCTACTATTTAAGAGAAATTTAAAAAGTAAAGAAATACAATGGTTAATGTTTCCTAGGTGGTAGATAGCACAAATTGTAGTCACAGTCACTTAGAAATCACATTTGAAATAAGTTCTGTGGTGATATATCATTGAAGGTACTTAACAAATTATTGATGAAATTTTCTTGTTTCATCATCCAATAGGTTCTGATGATCATATTAGTTAGAATAAGATTTGGTTGGAAGCGGGGCGTTGGTGTTGCACACCTTTAATTCTAGCACTTGGGAGGCAGAGGCAGGTGGATCTCTGTCAGTTTGAAGTTAGCCTGGTCTAAAGAGTGAGTTCCAGACAGCCTCCAAAGCAATACAGAGAAACCCTGTCTCAAAAAAAAACAAAAACAAAAAAACAAAAAAAGAGATTTGGTTTGAAGCAACGGACAGTAAAAGCAAGACATTGGGCTTCTTCAACAAGATTGAAACTCATTTTGTTCCCATGTAGAAATACCTGCCCAAACATGGTCTGTGGCCAGTTTGCTTAGGAAATATCAGGAATTATGTTAATCAGTTTTCTGTCATCATAGAAAAATAGTTGATATAACCAACTTTAAAAGACAAAAGAAGTTAATATTAGTTCTAATAATAGATCTCAAAATTAGAAGTTGCATCACATGATTGGTCAGCACTGTTGCTCTTGGTCCTGTGGCAGGGCTGTCACGACAGGAGGATGTGCATAGGGAGCTGCATGACTTGTGGCACCTGAGAAGCAAAGAGGAAAGGAGGAGGAGGAGGAAGAACCAGGATCACAATATCCTCTTCCAATGACCTCCTGCCTAGGAAGCCCACTTCTTCAAGGTGACATTGTCTCTCAGTAGCATGAAAGGCTAGGGACCAAGTGTTTGATATCTAATGTCCTCTGTGGAGGGAGGGTTGCAACCATAGCAGAGACTGAGGCTTCCTATATACATATATTTCCAAAGCCACCTAGCAGTCTACTCCTAGTCATTCTCCAGCTGGTGGGAAGAAGATCTAGAAAAGCCTGGAGTGAAAGATTTCTCAGTGGTTAAGAGCTCTTACTGTTCTTACAGAGGATCCAAGTTTGGTTTCCAGCTCACATATCAGGCAGCTCATAACCAGTGCCCTTCTCTGCACACACACACACATAAATACACACACACACACATTAAAATAATAAAATAACTAAATATTTAAAAAGAGGTGAACTTTTCATTCCATCCTTTCCAAGAAGTTTTTTCAGATAATTAAATTTTGGGCTTATAATTTATTTTTCAAATTCTCTTAATATTTACCTATAGTAGATGTCAATATTGTAAAGACATTAAATTATCTTTTTATTTCACATACCATTACAATGTATTTATATTATGTCCATTTTTAAAAATCTATTTTCATCATTTGACATTTTTTAAAGTGTGTGTGTTTGTCTAAGTGTATTTGTGTGTATCTTTAATAGTTTGAATGAATGCCCCCCTTAGCCACATATATTTGAATGTTTGTTCCATGGTTGCTGGAACTGTTTGCAAAGAATTAGGAAATACTTAGACACAGACAGAAGAACTTAGACAAGGACCTAACACATCACTGCATGATTAAACTGAATAGGGAAGGCCCATGGTTATTAGAAAACCAACCTTAGTTTATCCAGTTACTATACAGAAACTACCAGGAGATGACAGGCACTACTGAGTATAAAAACATTAAATGGAATCCTATAGAAATACTAGATTTGAGGAGATTTAAGCAAGCAGTCATTTCATATGGTACGCATTCACCCTATATGAAGCAGACTTTAAATTCATAGGTAACTGAGAATAGAATTAGCCCCCCACACACAAGACAGGAAAGATTTAGCTACAGCAATATTGGGAGCTTTTCCTCAGTTACAATGGTGAAAATGGTAGAAAGAGGAAGCTACGGTCGAAGAAGAAAGAAGTAGGACTAGAGGTACTGATAGTTCCCAAGATCAGTTTCTAGGTGAAGACCAGCATACTGAATTGCAGACAGTTTGAGCTGGATGATCACACCTCGGTCCTATGTTATTCAGCAGCTTTGAATGCTTGGGACAAGGTTGAAGAATAAGGAAAGAGGTCTCAGTCATTTACCAAAATTATACAAGTTCTATAAGAAGCCTTCACTGATTTTTCACAAAGATTGCTTTCAGCTGTAAATAGAATAGTATCAAATCACAAAGTCAGACAAATATTGACTGAATCTTTGGCTTTTAAAATGCCAGTTCAGAATGTAAAAGGGTAATTAGACCTTTAAAGGCAAGGTCAGCACCAATAGATGAATGGATCTAAAATACAGCTGATATTGGATCCCGTGCTTACGATGGATCTCATGCTTATGGTGCTGCTTTGATAGAAGTAATCTCTAGAAATTTTAAGGAAAACAAACATGTCAGATATAATTGTGGAAAACAAGGTTATTTGAAAAGGAATTGTAGACAAGGCATTCCTAGAACAATGTTTTTTTCAAGAGATAGTCCAAACAAAAGGCCCCAGATTTCTGGAATACCCATAAGGTATGGCAAAGGGTGCAGCAGACTAATGGATGCAGATGAAGAAAGTACAGACAAGGTAACCCTTTGCCACTGGGAAATGCCTTAAGGGGCCTCTAGCAGTCCCCAATATCAAATTTGGTTCAATAATTCCCTGTCAGCATCAGAGAAACTCATCCACAGAGCAACTAAAAGACTTAATACCTGTCCTCAAAAACCACACTGCTCTGGATGTGATCAAGGACAGAACAGCTTCAGTAGATACAACAAAAAACTCAAAAGAGACAAAAAAGAAAAGTATTTTAGCAGACTACTATACATGATCAAAAACCAAGACTAAAAATACAAATACA